GATGATTTCGTGGGGGTATCCGAAACACCAGAAGGGTTGCAGGAACAAATAGATGCGGCAGTAGGATACACCCGAAAATGGAGACTGTCGGCGAACGTAGGAAAATGCGCAGTTGTGGTCTGTAACGAAGAAAAGAAAAATCCCGTAGAATTCAAATGGAAATGGGGGGAGGAAGAACTACCGGTATTAGACAGGTATACGTACCTGGGAGTAGAGATTTCGAAGGAGTGCTCATGGGACGCACACATAGCAAAGTTGATTGGGAAGGGTAAAGCTCAGATAGGCAAGATGGACGAGATCCTTACGGACCCACACCTAGACACTAGGATTAAGAGGTGTGTTCTCTTGAATGTGATTGTACCTAAGCTAGAGTATGCAGGAGAGGTATGGGAAGGTAACGAAAAGGCCGTCAAGCAGCTGGAAACGGTGCAGATGGCAGCGGCCAAGAAAATACTAGGATGTTCAAGTACAACGAGCAACACTGTATTGAGAGCAAGACTGGGAATGTACTCTCTTTGAACAAAGAGAGACATGCAAAAGTTGAATTGGCAGTACAAGGTAAGTAGAATGTCGGACGATAGACTACAAGCCATGGTTGACAAGGCAGCTTGGGGAAAAGCGACTCCAGGGAAGAAAGGAATCAGATGGGACAAGGTGGTAGAGAGGGTTTGGAAGGAGATAGGAGACGAGGAGGAGACATTGGACACGGAAGGGTTCGGGGGGTTCAAGAAGAAAGTCAAGGAGATGCTAGAAAGTAGGGAGGAGGCAACCCTTCGGAAGAAGGTACGAAGCGAAGACCACTTGGAGATATACGGGAAGTTGAAAGAAGGGATAGGGATGAAGAGTTACTTGGACGGCCCCATGGACTACGCAAAAAAACTGAAGTTGCAATTTCGAGTAGGCGATCTGGACTTGCCAGAACGGAGGAAGAGGTACAGCAGCCGTAGGAGAGAGGAAGAGGAGGATAGACAGACATGTCCATGTGGCAAATCGGAGGAGAGTAGACCCCACATAGTTGGGGAGTGTGAGCTGTACAGGAAGGAAAGAGAGGATCTCGAGGAGGACATGAGACAGAGAGGGTGTGACATGGACAAGTTTGGTAAATTAGACAACAGCGAAAAAAAGATCGCGGTAATTGGGGATAGGTGGTGGGCACAAGAGGCCGTAGAGGACGGGGATAAGATGTGCAAG